GCAGCACACAAGGTCTGTACAGTTCTTGTTGGGCACAATACCAAGCGATTTGATGTCCCAGTCATACTTCATAACAGCAACAGCAATATTATTGCAAAATTTCAGTCTTTGGGCATTTTCTTTGGAGATAGTCTCTCGTTGTTCGAGTATTTAGTAAAAGAATCGATTCTGAAAGATTGAAATGGAGATAGCTGTGCTTTAAACCAGTCTGCTGTTTACAAGGCTTTGTTTGATCAAGGCTTCGATGCCCACGACGCGCTTGAAGATGTGAAAGCTCTACATCGTATTCTGTTCTCCTCGCCGTTAAACCTTTCGGAAAAAGATCTGATCACACATTGTCAAGCAATTCCATTTGACGAAGCTTACCAGGATAATCTGTATCTAGACCAACGACATCAACTTGTACAGACACTCAACACCAAACTGCATGGAACAATCAGCAAAGGCATGGTCGAGAAAATCGCCAGCAGTGGCTTGAACTTCGCGAATTTACAAAGTCTGTTTGATAAGTTTGGCAGGAATGGACTGATTGGAGTTCTGTATAACCCGCCGACAAACAATCGTGGATCCAAAAAGCCAAGAGTGACAAAATCGAAGCGAATTTTGCTTGCTATCGTGCAATACTTCGAACAAACCGCCAGCGAGCAGTAAAATGCGAAGAGATGGCGCGCGAGACCACACGCAACACACACGGACATGCGCAAATGCCATTCTTGTCGAACTGAAATTTCTATTGGCCGCGTAAGTTTTTTGCATTTTTCCTATCGCTTAACTTTCATTTCCTTCGGTGAATTTTTTTAATTTTTTGTGTAGCTAACCTGAAAGTCGCGTTTTTTAATATTTCGAAATTTAAAAAAATTCTACAGAGCAGTTTTCTTGAAACAGAAATTTGTCAATCTATAAAAACCCTCTCCTACAACTTACCTGTATTTTTTTATATAATATTCCGTTTAGTATTCCAAACTTACTTGAAAGTTTTTAAAAAATTTCACCGAAGGAAATTTGATTAATTTCATGTTTTGCCTGATTTTGTGGGCATGACTACTATAGTTCACACGCTGCTGTTGCCATAGCAATGCGTGTGTGGTTTATGTTGAACTTATGGTTTGGACACATAATAGCTACATTATCAGTTTTTTCTCCAAAAAGAGCTAAATGTTTGACAAACATGAAGATATCTATCGCAATGAGAAAAGATTATATATTTTCTCCTTGTTTAAACTAGAACTGTAGGGAGCCACCTTAAGCCCGTATTCTACTCACGTATTTCGCCCCCGCTGCGAAATATTTTCACAAAGAAATCATTTTTTTACATTCATTCGCCGCTGATGAAATTTGTTCTCCTGCTACAGTTGCTTAAAATTTTCAACTTCTGTTTGACCTTTCGTCGACGGTGCGAAAGTACAACAAATGAACTTTTTCGGTGGCGAAATTTTTCGCCAGCGGCGGCGAAATACGTGAGTAGAAAACGGGCTTTAGACTATGGAGGTAATGTCGTTTAAAGAATCATTGTCAACCACAATGCATTCTGCGCTCAAACCTGCTTGGTGGATATTTTATGGATATTTTACACCTGCTTGGTGGATATTGTTTTGTACTCATCCCAGGCAGCACGGGAACTCGTCACCATTGCTTTACGCTTTAATTTATCTCTTTCAAAAATCATGTTTTTAATTTCCCCAGTCAGCCACGGGACAGCGGATTTTGTTTTCCTAATATGTCGAAAAGGGGCATGCTTGTCCAAGACTTCCAAAAATAACTTTTTCCAAAGGGTCTACATAGAATCGGCATCTGGTTCCAAAACAATGTGCTCCCACCGCTGGGCAAGAAGATCCTCGTTAAAAGTGACACTTCCATATATGGCACAAACGTATCCATAACTTCCATATATGGCATAAACGTATCCTCGACGCGTTTTATAACGTTTTATTTGACGTAGGGATGACGTAATGCTGCTTCCCGCCTATGACGATTTGAATTAGTCATGTGATACAAGATTGCAAAAGCCGATTCGCCCAGAACGATGACACGCCCACAAAACGCCCACAATGTTCCTACCCTCTTATTTTCTCCTTAATTTTTCTCGCTTGCTTATTATTTTGCCAGGAGGGGCGGCAATGCCATGCAGCATGTAGATTAGGACGAGTAAACATGGCGATGGCAGACGAAGCAGATATGGAATTTGGTTCGAATATTAAAGAACTATTTATGAAACAAAATAAGAAGTTATGAATATTCTGATCTTTTAAACATAATTATAATGCATGAGTAAGTATAATACCATTTCTAACTTTCTATTTAACAACACTACACCTTTCCTATTGCCCGTGATAGATGTTATATAGTGATCTATAAGAGTACAAGAAATATCTGTTATTTGTGTCGCCTCAGTAATAAGTTGAAATAGAATGCTTTCAGTTGCTTAGTATAAAATAGTAACAGAGAAATGATTAGAAAGTCATATAATTGCTTTTGTATTAATAACTTCTTTAGCTGAAGGCTCGATCACAATGCCAATGGCAATTTCTAACTTTCTTTTAAATGCCGGTATACTGTAAACAAAAGCCCAAGTAAATAAAAGTTCACAACCGTAAAGTTTGAAATATTTATTACAACAGTGCAATTTAATTCATAGTTTATATATATATGTTAGAAATGTATAATTTTTATTTAGTTTTCTACGCGAGGTAGGGAATCGTTTCTAATTAGTGTCACTATATGTTAATATTGAAATCGTTCCTTTTCAAAGTTATCTTCTTTCTGACCACTGTTACGACAACTTTTCATAGATAATTTTACTTTGTTGAGTCCACTCGAGGGTCCACTGGGAGATCATCCACTGACGAATTTGGATTGTGCACGGCCTTTTATACTAACGGTTGAGGGATCTTTGTACACGTGTTGTAGAAAGTGGTGTGATTTGTATCCAGCCAATCAACGTTGAGGTTTAAAAGTGTGGGTTGGCGTTGCTAGCTCGTTCCAGCTCCCACATTCTGTTTATTTAAGGCGTTGTCGCATTGGTCGAGTTGGTTCGCTGTTCAATCGATCAATATTAAAATATGTCCACAACTTAAAATACTTATCAAAATATCATAGTAAAATCTTCAACCTATACCTATGTGAACCCCACTTTACCTACTAAACTAAATTTACTTACAATTTTATTGAACAAAGATTTTGATGACGTAATGTTATCATTACTTGACCGCGCGAAATATACCGAAGAATGATTGACAGAAAGGCCCTAAGCATGCACATTTTCCATGTCAAAGAAGAACCAGCCTTGGACTTTGAATTATGTAAACACATCAGCCCACCATGCAAAGCTATCGTCCAACTTTGACAGTTTGACAAATCATTTATCTTGCCTAATGGACAGATAATTGACACTTTTACACAAGTCCGAAACGATATATATTTTATCTGCGTTTACAGCAAAAATGCTCATTATCTCTGCATTTTACGTAACTAGTATCTATAATTACCAGGGGTGCAAACTGAACTATTTTTATACTATTTACATATACTTTCGTAACATATACCTTTATATAGTTATACCTTACAAATCAAGTTCTGCTGTGCAAGTCTAGCTAGTTCTTCAGCGCTTCGGTTGTTGACATGTTAATATTCCAGGACTTTAAATAAGGTATATGTCATATATACCAAGAATAACAGCATGAATTCACGCCCAGATGGCAGAAGAATATTAACATTGGTCAATACAACAATAAAAAGTAGCAAAAAATCGTAAACGACAACGAAACATCAGAACTTGCAAGAATTCGTACTTTGTAACAAGAAATCGACCAAGAACTGCCAGGCGTCTCCAGAGGCGCCGGAATATTGATAACTGGGGCAGATATTCATATATTCGTGTTCACAGACTGTAAAAACAATCGATATTAAAATCTAAATATCGATTTCAAAAGAAATTAATTGGGCAGAACACGAATATATGAATATCTGCCCCAAAAATTATCGATATTCCGGGGCCTCTGGGCGTCTTGCATTTCATGTGCACTCTTCCCATCACCCCTTTGCCCATCTCTCCTCACTACAATATAGTTTATGTAAACTCGTCATATGCGCATGACAGTTTTTTTACAAAGAGACGCCTGGGTACGAGGCAGGCGTTGTATAATGTGATATAACAAACCAGGAAAACTTTGCTAGTGGACGGTTCGTCTAAAACGTAAGTTATAACTACATTTGTGTCGAAAATTTTTATGTAAATTATTAATAAGTAATAGCATGTATGGTTTTCGTGAAATTTGCATAAACATGCACACGTGAGTTTTTCAAAGACCTCAAATAGAACTCGTTCTTCGGACCCGTGCTTTTTTGAGGTTTTTGAAAAACACATTCAGTCACTCGTGCATGTCATATTCAAATTGTACACGAAACCATACAACTACCTATACTAAAAAATAATATTTGTAATTGACAGTACTGACAGTGAGATATATATACGCTGGGCAAACAAGACAGCAAATTAGGCCAGGAGAATGGGCCAACAAATAACTTTCTGTCGTTAGGTTGGAATATCACGAAACTTTCTCACAAGATAGAACTTGACATTGCTAAAAATCGTATGTTTTTGTTTTTCGATATTGTTACATTTTGGCGGGAAATTGACGTGCCAACTTTGGCGCCAAAAAATTAAACTCCTGCTAAGAACATGCTAGGAACGTTTTTGAAGAGATTGTGCTATAAGGATCTCAAAACTCTAAAAACATTGAAAATACGCCAAAACAGTGCAAAGATATGGTGCTCAAAAGTCTGCAAAATCCGCCATAAATTTTTTTTCGAAATTTGAATCCCCATATGTTCGCACTTCCTTGTTGTATTTTCAATATTTTTACAGTTTTGAGATTCTTATTGGACAATCTCTTCAAAAAAGCTCCTATCATGTTCTTAGCTCGTGTTTAATTTTTTGGCGCCAAATTTGGCACGTGCATTTCCCGCCAAAATGTAACAAAATCGAAAAACAAAAAACATACGATTTTTAGGAATGTCAAATTCTATCCTGTGAGGAAGTTTAGTGATATTCTAAACTAACGACAGAAAGTTATTTGTTGGCCCATTCTCGTGGCCTAATTTGCTGTCTTGTTTGCCCTGCATGAGAATGTTTCTTCCCTAAACAGCTCTTAATTTCATTGTTGCTATTTTCATTGAATAATAATGTCCCTTCCATTGTTTCCAGTTTAAACCATGCCCAAATGGAGTTGGATGCTGATCTATTTTATAATAAACACCGTTTAAATTTGCGTTATGACAGTGGCTGTACCACCATGCGCCTTCGTATTCCAGTGCACAGTTAGAACTGGATGCGTCGTTATCTGAATCTTTTGTTGTGAACGCCATTTCCTCTGAGAATCTCATAGCATCTCCTGATGTACCTACATCAACAAGAAAGTTTAGTTTACTGACTGTTCCTTTGATCCCGTGCCTGTCGTTTTCAAATTTTCCCTGAAAACGTTGGAAAATTTGGCCCTACAAATTTTTTGTACATTATATTCAGCATATATAAGTAAATTCAATCTGACTCTTTAAGATTTTACCAGATAGTAAGAAAGGAAAATTGGACTAAAAAAGGTGTTCCTTTAAATTCTCAAGTCTTACCCCTATACATACCATATTTTTTTAGGCACGTTTACAGTATATATAGACCCATGGCACATGACGTCACAGCGCCGGTGACGATGCATCTGGAGGACAAATTGGAAATCTATGCATAATCTAACTTTTGTAAACAATTGAAAGCAAAATTTGTAAAACTTTAAAATAATTTTGTATCAAAATGGTTAATTATTGCGCTGTATATATGGTTGTTGTACCCGAACAGATATTGTTAGGGAGCATCTGAAGGACTCTAAGGATTTGTGACGTCTTTGCAATGGGTCTTTTCCCGCGTATTTCATTTCATTGACGCTGTACACATGTCGCCAAAATTTATGTTATACTTTTTTTTTCGATCAATGTTCGCTGATTAAAATCACAAGTTACATCACCTCTTAGCAAAAAAAGTATATATGCCATATTAAAACTTAAGACACAATCGAGCTTATCAATTGTCTTATATTAACACCCATCGCTTCAAAAGTGTCGTACACTCATGGCATCATCTAGCTACAGGCTAGTAAACACGCGGACATGCAGTACTTGCACTATAGTATGCAGGTAATGAAAGTATTAATTATCCTAGAACATAAATGTTTTCAAATGTAGATATAATGTAAAAATATATTATAAATATCGATAATTTTTATACCTATACGTAATTCTACTCATATCTATTTACATATCAATCTAAATTAATAGTTCCCACCCATGCATTCCTGACGTGGCAGATAACATTGCTCTTCAAAATTAACAAGGGACACATATGAAACACCCTACCACAATAACTAGAAGAATGGCCATGCAGAGCCAATCATTAATGACAGATAGAAGAGCAATCATGGCAGATTTGTTCAACTTTAATGAACAAATCTGCTTTTGCTTTTCTTCTCTAATAATCAGTGAATAAACACCTGCACGCAGTCTGTCAAAAAAATGTTTATTTTTCCTTAATATTCGATTTTAAGCAGACTCCGCGTTTTCCACTGGAAAACGCGGAATCTGCCAAATAAATTTTAATTTTACCTAAAGATTTGACTTTATTTTAAACGGAATTTTGTACCAAACGAAAGCACATGTGATGTGACTCGACGTAGCAAGTGCTCTCATTGCCAAGTCCTAGAATTCCTTAGATTAATATCGGTAAAACATGCAGAAAGTCTGTTTACGCTTGCAATTACACTTGCAACTTCCAACAAGATTTTTTAGTGACAATCTGCCGAATGTAAAAACCCCGCGTTTGTGACAGTAACTTTTGTGCAATTTGAAGCAATTTTATGGCTTGAAATCACGAGAGATAAATTTTCAATACTCCTCTAATAAATACAAAATTTTGTTCTAATTAGGTTGTTTATGGCTGTTTTCTTTTATGTGATTTGGCTGTAGCCTGTAGGAAAGAATTTCACGCTGAGCTATTATATATCTGCACCTCTAAAGTAAGTAAAGCATGACTTTAAAGATTGTCTTTGATTATCGCTTGGCACACACGAATACCAACAATTATTGCGGTGTCTGCGCTTTATATTCTGCCTGAGCGTTTCTTCATAGTTTGTTAGTTTGTTCGGATCAATATAGCGACATTTCCAGGGCCGTAGCGACCGGGTGTGTGTGTGTGGGGGGAGGGGTGCAACAACCCCTGATAATTGTTCATGTGGGCAATTTCAGGTAAATCCAGGGAGATTTGCAGAAGAAATTCAGGTGAATGAACACAAATTCAGGTAATTTCTAGGCTCAGAGAAAGTTAATTTACAAAAATAAATGTGAATTTGGAAAAGAATGAGGTTAATTTACAAAAACTTTAGAAAATTATAGAACATTTTTGGATTTTAGAATTTTTTTTTTGATAAATGGAGAAAATTGCTGATCCCGAAAATTTTTTGGCTGGGGAGGGGGGAGGTCACCCAAAAAAATTTCAGGTACAAAAAAAATGTTTCAGGTAAATTTCGAACTTTTGATACTTTCAGGTAGATTTAACCAAACACCCCCCTGAAGCGAGTCTCTCGGGACGGCCCTGGACATTTCCTTAATCGCCCAGTAAAATTCGTTGACGTTGCACTACGTGCTCTGAAATTCCTCTTCTGCGGGAAAGTTATAATTAATCTTGACTCTCAGGACCGCTTCTTTGCTGCGCTTTATGCACCCAAAAAGGAAAAAATATGCCCAAATCGTGCAGCTTAAAGGTTTGTATCTTTAAACAGCAGTATTTTAGCGATTTATGGCCTTTGAAAGACAAGGGAAATTGTATTGTTGACAAGCTGCTCAAATCTTTAGGCAAAATAAACAATGGACAATTCCCATTATAGACTGGTTTTTATCTTGGCAAAGAAGTATATTCCTGGAAAGAGCATACAAAAATTAGTAAAATTGCAAAGTTTGGTTGCGAAATGTTGTAAAATGCGGAAAATATTGCCTTGCAAAGTTCGCAAATTTTGTACAATTTTGTATTGGACCTATTGGTACTATTGGGTCACATAAAATAAATTCCTTGATTCTCAGCACCGCCCGACTGTTTTTAAGATCAGAGCCTCGTGAAATTGTTTATATATTTCATTATACATTAATATGTTCAAAGGTCAAAGGTTCGTTCATTGTTCGTGGAGATACGTTGGAGATGACAGAAATGTGTAATGTAATATGTTTATTTCGGTTTGTGACACTTCACTTCAGAAATCACACTGAAATATTAAGAATTATTTTTTTATTTACAGATATATAAATTATATAAATGTAAAATCTCTTCGAAATTTTCAATGTATAGTGATGAGAATCAAGGAATTTACTTTATGCATGTGACCTTGCATGCGGAAATTGCTACCATTTTCGGCTCAAATGTGGTACGGCAATTTCAGCACGCAATACAAAAGTATACAAAATTTGCGAACTTTGCAAGCCATATCGCATCCAAACTTTGCAATTTTACTCATTTCAGTATGCCCTTTCTAGCTGTTGTGATTTATTTGCATCTCCTTGCCTAGTTTTAAAATAGCCGGTCTATAATGGGAATTGTATATTTTTTGACAGACTCCGGCGTTTTCCACTTTATGCCCCAATAAAGTGGAAAACGCGGAGTCTGATTAAAATCAAATTTTTAGACAAAATAAACAATTTTTTGACAGACTCCGCGTTTTCCACTTTACGGGGGGATAAAACGCGGAGTCTGTCAAAAAATCGATTATTTCGTCTAAATATCCGATTTTAACGAGACTCCGCGTTTTCCACTTTATGGGGGCATAAAGTGGAAAACGCGGAGTCTGTCAAAAATTTGTTTATTTTGTCTAAAGATTTCATTGAGCGGTTTGTCAACAATATGACAATTTCGCTTGCCTTTCAAAGGCCATAAATCGTTAGAATAACTGCTGTTTAGAGATACAAACTTTTAAACTGCATGATTTGGTAGTATTTTTTCCTTGTTGGGTGCATAAAGGGCAGCAAAGAAGCGGTCCTGAGAGTTCAAGAATAATTATAATTTTCCCGTAGAAGAGGAAATTCAGAGCACGTGCAAATGCAACGAATTTTACTGGGCGATCAGTTAAGGAAATGAAGCTATTGATCCGAACAAACTAACAAACTATGAAGAAACGCTCAGGCAGAATATAAAGCGCAGACGCCGCAATAATTGTTGGTATTCGTGTGTGCCAAGTGATAATCAAAAACAGTCTTTAAAATCACGCTTTACTCGCTTTAGAGGTGCAGATATATAATAGCTCAGCCGGAAATTCTTTCCTACCCTGACTACAGCCAAATCACATAAAAGAAAACAGCCATAAACAACCTAATTAGAACAAAATTTTGTATTTATTAGAGGAGTATTGAAAATTTATTTTTAATTTTCAAGCCATAAAATTGCTGCAAATTGCACAAAAGTTAGTACTGTCACAATCGCGGGGTTTTTACATTCGGCAGATTGTCACTAAAAAATCTTGCTGGAAATTGCAAGTGTAATTGCAAGCGTAAACAGACTTTCTGCAAGTTTTTACCGACATTCAAATCTAAGGAATTCTTGGGCTTGGCAATGAGAGCACTTGCTACGTCGAGTCACATCACATGTGCTTTCGTTTGGTACAAAATTTCGTTTAAAATAAAGTCGAATCTTTAGGCAAAATTAACATTTATTTGGCGGACTCCGCGTTTTCCACTTTATGCCTCCATCAAGCTGGGAAAACGCTGAGTCTGCTTAAAATCGAATATTAAGGAAAAATAAACAATTTTTTGACAGACTCCGTACTCCGTACTCCGCACACCGTACTCCGTACTCCCACTCCGTACTCCGACTCCGTACTCCGCACTCATGTCTCTTCCACCATGCCTGTTTACAACAATTGCGAGTATTACTTTCTTAAGAGGCTGTCTCCGTAAAAACCTCCAGCTCAATATGGGGCTCAAAAATAGATTTCTCTCATACTCTAGTATTTTGAAGATCTATCCTTGGGTACAACTAAACTATCGATTTCATTTTACTCAAATTTCCTTTAAATTATTTTTGGGGGCGATTGATGATCAGGGCAATTATTTAAATCAAATTCATACCTAAATTTCAAAGTTTTTGCTCAGAAATATATATATATAGACTTATCCTTCTATTTTTGTTGATGATATGACTTAGATTATTATTCTTTGGTATAAAATAGAAAACAGCGCAGTTATTGACCCTCCTGAACGGATAGCGGATATCGTCTCAAAATATATCAACTTTGAAAGCTTATTTCAAAATCGTGGCACTTGATTGGCACATGAGTTTAATTTTTCTATAAACTACTAACATTAGTCAACACAAATCGCCAATAATATCTTTCTGATTTACCATTTGACAAAAATGACAAGCGCGCAAACTTTGTAAAATTTGAAAATGTGTCGAAATTGAGCATACTTTATCGGTAAACCTAATCGTTGATATTAACAAATAAAATCAAATTACACTACACTGAATGAAGCTTGATTATGTAAATATATGTTTTCCATCATTATTTTTTGGTTTTGCACTCGAAAAAAAATAGATAGTTTGAGTACAGTTTGGCTTCAAGGATAGTCATTCAATGCCAGTGTGTCCAGTGTGTTCGAATTCTGTGCGCCTCGAGCTCAATGCCATGAGTCCTAATTGTGACATACGAACTTCGCTTTGTTCGCTTTGTTTACCTCCTATAAATAAAATTTCTCAAAGAAATTAGAAAATTCAGAATTAGTCATACTACAGACATAATTTTCATTGGTTTGTTTATCTTAAACTGTTATATAAAGTTTCTTTTTATAGAATGTACGAACTAATCTCGAGGAAAACTCCTGGCCGAAAGAAGCTCTCTGAGCGTAAACATGTCAATCAAAGCATATAGTTAATATCAAAGACGATGAAATGTTTCGTTGCTCTCTGATTTCCCTTTCTTTGTACTGCATTAAATAGTAGTCTAAGACAGTGTTGCACGAGGTTTTTGTGTTTACAATAATGATGTTCACTACTACTAATATACAGCCGCAATTTGTTGTCACGCAACGTTAGGTAAACCTAACCCACCGGGCACACGACGTTGTTTCAACGTGGAAATTTGGTAGAAAAAAGGTTGCGACGTCGACAACCTAATATCTACGTAGCTCTGACGTTGTTTTACAAACATTGGTTCAACAGCAGCCAACAGACGTTGAATTAACGTTCATTCATGGTTAAATGTACGACGTCGATTTGTGAACCAATCTCAACGTTGTTTTAACGTGGATTCAACGTTGAATTATGGTTGACGAGATTGGCAACCTAATTTCAACGTTGTTTCAACGTCGAAACAGTAACGTCGATCCAATTTGCATAGTCAACCCTTTTTCAACGTCTATCCAACGTCTGGAAGGTCATTTCCAACGTTGATTCAACGTTGGATAAACATAATTTTGCCCGCTGGGAAACGATTTCGACAGACAGTAGATTTTATGTTGACATATGAGAATGAAGGTAAGCAATAATGTAGAAATGTTCCTTTTATACTTCTGGGTGTGGAAAATTCTGAGACACAGTAGACTGTTCTTAGAAGTTGCTGGCGTGTACGAATGACATTAGTTATTACTTGCAAATTTGTCACTCTTTACTGTAAAGCTTGTCGGAAAGAAGAATATAAAATAATTAATTCTAATTTTCTGAACCTTTCTAATTGTTACTGAAAAAAGGAATAACATTGATTAAATAACTGAGACGTTCAAATGGGTACAGCTGTTTGCGCGCTGAATTGTTTTGTATTATATCAAAATATTCACATATTTTTATACAATAAGAAATAATATAAATTCTTGAAGCTTATAGCTTTGAGCAAAATGACCCAGGGTCGGCCTGAAAAAGTTGTTTTTTTATACAGAACCGTGACTTATTTGAATTCTAGGTTCATTGATAATTGTTTCTAAACCTAGAGACAATTCAGTTGCTAGAAAACTATCCTGGGCAAAACTAACGAAATATTGACATTTGACATCACAGCGAGTATACATTTCTTCGATCTCGTTCCCCGAGCCTGCGATCCTTGGGAAGGAAACGAAGGCTCTGGGATAATCAATGTCAGACATGCAGAAAACTGTATGTCGACCGAACTGCGCATGCGTTGGCAAAAGCAAAACAAATTGTTTGAAATATTTTATTGTTTCGTCTATAAAATGATGATTTTTTCGGGGTTTTGGTGGAAATGTTGATGTTCTTCATAGTGGGATACAAAAGGTGTGTTAGCGACTGAATAAAGAAAATATTGCTTGTGAAACAGGATCAGTATAGAGCCGGCAGGAGCCCGAAGAGTGCTGTTGTCGGAGAAAAATGTCACAATTAATTGTAATCTTGTCCATTCGCGTCTCTGACAGTTTGAAAAAGCTTTAAATGTAGAGACATTTGTGGTTCCTCCAGCATAATTTAGCCGTTTAACGCTATTATATTTCTAATGGTTGAAAGAGCGCATGGAAAGGGCAAATATTTAATAAAGAACAAAACAATTACAATGTACCGTGTTTAATAATTGCTACTGTAGTACTAAAATACCTAAAAAGAGTCTCAATTCTAATATAAAGTCGGTTCGTTATAAACCTTGATAATATTAAAGTTTTCAGAAGATTTGTATATCAGAGAACTATTAAAAGGGGTTTAGACTTATAAAACATATAATTAAAAATATGAATATAGTGAATTCCATGTTTGTATTGTGTTATCATCTCTAGAAATTAACAGTTTATAAACCAAATCCTTGTTATATTATTACTATGCCCTTATAGCTTTCCTTATATGTTTTAATATATGCCAGCAGTTTAGTAGGTTAAGGATGCAACAGCACTTTTCAAATTACTGAATTATAACCAAATTTTGTGTCTGGATAGGAATTACTATTAAAGATTTACAGTTTGTAATGATAGAGTTGGAGCAAGTTAAGCTGCAATTTGCCTCAGTTTGCCCTAATTTGTTATTTTAAGCTGTTTAACGCCAGAATTTTTTGTCGTCAAGGGGAAAGTATTGGACTTGGTATTTGAATGGGTTAACCAGTCCATGGCCCTAATGGCAAGTTTGATTTGATTTTATATTTCAGTTTTTATTTCAGTTTGTATTTGATACGTGGACCTCAGTAAGCGCCTGATCTATGATCAGTGCAAGCAACAATGGCTTCGTTCAACTTCGTGAATTTTTTGTCAGAGCAGACCACAATTGCGATGTTTTTAGCATTATAAATGACTAGAGATGGAAAATGATTGGCTTACCTACATTATTTGTGATGAAATATTGATGTTTTATTCGCAGATCTGTGGAGTCACTGGAGTGCGGACTGTGCATTATCAATATCATCGCCTCATGCCATTAACGACAGTTTCCGAAGTAAAGTCGAACACGCTCCCTCACAACTTCACAACCTTCACAACTTTTTTTAGCGTGTGCATAATGGTTAGACCGCGAACGGGCTAACCACAAAAACGATAAAAGTTCTGTCTGTAGTATGACTAATTCTGAGTTTTCCAATTTCATTGAACATTGTTAACTGTTAAAAGGCAAAGGTATTTGTTAAAGAGGTAAACAAAGCAAACAGAGCGAAGTTTGTGTAGTATGTCACAATCAGGACTCGTGGCATTGAGGCGCGCAGAAGACACTGGACACACTGGCAATGAATGACTCTATCCGTGAAGCCAAACTGTACTCAAACAATTTGAATCAAGTGCCAAACCAAGAAATAATGATGAAAGACATAATATTTACATAATCAAGCTTCATTCAGTGTAGTGTAGTGTAGTGTAAGGTGATTTTATCTGTTAATATCAATAATTAGGTTTACCGATAAAGTATGCTCGAATTCGACACATTTTCAAATTTTACAAAGATTTGCGCGCTTGTTATTTTTGTCAAATGGTAAATCAGAAAGATGTTATTGGCGATTTGTGTTGACTAATGTTAGTAGTTTATAGAAAAGTTAAAGTCATTTGCCAATCAAGTGCCACGATTTTGAAATACAGTAAGCTTTCAAAGTTGATATATTTGGAGACGATATCCGTTATTCGTTCAGGAGGGTCAATAACTGCGCTGTTTTCTATTTTACACCAACGAATAATTATCTAAGTCATATCACCAACGAAAATAGAAGGAAAAGTCTATATTTCTGAGCAAAATTTTGAAATTTAGGTATGAGTTTGATTTAAAAAATAGCGCTGAAAATATGTCGATATCACTTTTGTCTTCATTCGGAGTTCAAGTTGGTTACAAGCCGATCGAACATCAATCGCCCCCAAAAATAATTTAAAGGAAATTTGAGTAAAATGAAATCAATTTTAGTTGTTCCCAAGGATAGATCTTCAAAATACTAGAGTATGAGAGAAATCCATTTTTGAGCCCCGTATTGACCTGGAGGTTTTTACGGAGACAGCCTCTTAACTGTGTGTATCCTAACCCACCCTGTCAACTTTCCCTGTGGGAGAAAACCGGATCACCCGGAGAAAACCGACTTTTGGCAGATCGTTTCACATGATCAAGGCATAAGAATAATAGGCATGTAGCAGTTCATTTCCTAAATCGCGCACCGACGGGTGCTTTTTTCCCGAGGTGCTGTACATGTAGGTAAGGGGTACTTTAGGCCTACTAACGAATTTTTAAACTTTCACTAAATTTTAAAATCATACTAAAGTGTTCCAAACTAACCTGAATAAGATCCAATGCTCAACCTATACTTGTCAGCCTCACCAGCAATAGACACATCACTGTATAACGCATATCTTGTGTTTCCAGAGAAATCCTCAACCTCAATCAGAAGTTCGTTGGATTTATTTGCTGTTATTTTATGAATTTTCTCCAGTCCCAACCAGAATTCTTCAGTTAAGTTGCCAAAGCCGTGTTTATAATCTTGCCATCCTCTGTAGAAGTCGACACTTCCATCAAGACGACGTTGAAACACAGTCCATCCTTCCCCAGATGTTGTCATATCACAAAACACTTTAAAGCTTTCCTTCCCGTCTGGGTCTACTTCATATACACCATTTCTTCTTATCCCGTTCCACTTGTAGAGATCACCGCAATCACGTTCTTTTCTCTTCGAAGAGAAGAATATAACTAGTAACATATACAATAGACTAGCTGCTTGCAGAATTACTGGGAAGTGACGTAACAGAGAAGCTAAGCAGGCGGGGGGGGGGGGACGGCAGAAGAGCGGAAGGATATGTTTCCAATGACCTGCACAACAGTAATTATCCAAAGTTAAAATCCGTGGATACATGCGATAGTTCAAATAACAATAAAATTATATTTCATGAGGCAAGCTAAGTATTTATTAATTCCTACCTAAGATTCATTCAAAATATAAAATATTGCCGTTTCAAATTGTTTACAGACTAATAAATTTGGCTTCACATATATTTCAAGCAAACACTGTCATATTATTAAAAGCAAATACGTTTAATGATATTAATAAATCCATTTATAAAATAGCCTTTTAAAAACACAGGCGCCGATTGGTCAAAAGCTAAAAAAAAGTGTTTCTGTAACTCGATAGAAACAGGGGGAATTTTCGCACGGGTTGCATGGATTGCGCGGGAGGTTAAACAAAATACAAACAATATTTAATATTGAAAAAAAAACTTGGAAAACGTGCGAAAACGCCGAAGAACCGTCACAAAAAAGGCAACGCTTTGCTAACTTAGAAAGTGAAGACTTAAAGCACAAAGTATACATACGTTGTATTTGTTTTACTGTTTGCCGAGGTAAGATATTTTAATTTTATACAGTGTCGTCTTTTTAAGAAAATATTTCCTGGCGACATTTTTAATCATATTTACTATCGCTTTTAATCTTTTTTAATCATGTTTATACGTTTACTAACTATTTAAAACAGTGCTTTCTTGCAAGCATGTACGTTGTCGAATGAACTTTATACTTTAGTAAAGTAAGCCTGTTATTAAAGTGCTGTCTGTTGTTTTGACAGCGATATACTTGTTTATTATATACACAAGGTCTGGATATGAGGTATTCTGCAATCTGATTGGTTCTCTACTACCAGGATATTGGCTCATATCCTGCTAGTAGAGAAAAACAAAATGGCGGCCAAAACTGAATTTCCGATGTTTTGCGAACGAGAAAACGGCAAGTTGTTCGCTTTTTATAGCCTTTACAGGATTAAAAACACAATGAAAAACTCCCACAAATTGTTTACAGGTTAGCAAATGAATTTTTAAAATTTAAAATGGTTAAAAATATATATTTTTGAAGAAATAATCGGCCGAATGTGCGAAAATAAAAACATAAACAAAATAGAAAAATATTGAAAATATCCGAAAAGCAAAGTCTGTGAATTCAGACCTTGTGCAAAAAACAGTTATTCCACTCACTCTCGTCGAATAAACACCGCGGTAAAACGTCTGCGCATGCGTCAACCTTACCTGTAATAGTATTGCGAACTTGATGAGAAGCTGTTCCGAACGTTTCCGAAGGCTCAAAATGGCGGTAAAAAGGAGTGACTTCATTGTGCGTTTTTACAGCCAGATTTCAAGCGCAAAAATAAACATGTTATTCTAAAAACTAGAAATAAATACAGCCAGAAGGTTCAAGAAATTGTATTGTACAAGAACATGAACTAAAGGTGATTGTTGACAAATTTATCGTCTGAAACATTTTGTTTATCAACTAAGCAATGAGAATTTCCGAATTTTCGTTTGAGATACATTTCTTTAAAAAAAACTGTGTCGCCAAATATAAAAAATTTGCGTGTTCACAATAATTAAACTTTAGGATTTATTCTACAATTTGAGTGGGTTAAGAAGCTTAACTTTTCGAGAGTTTTCTTAACTTTTGAGTTTGAATTTTTGTTTTGAATAATTTTGCAAATATTTTCGAAGTCGTGTCCGTTAAAATCAACAATTTTTTACATGAATTCTGTTTCATTCCATACTTTAAATGCCAGGACGCTTTCAATTAATGTCTAGTCTACCCATTTGCTATATTTTCTCGTTTGTTTTACTAATTTTTGACCAATTAATAAGCATGTTTTTGTTTTAGAAATTGATATTCAAATTCCCCGCCATATTTTCATAATTTGGTGCATGCGCAGACGTTTTTCCGCGGTGTTCGTCGAATATGAGCGATAGCCGATTCGGCGCTACGCGCCTCATCGGCCATCAGCTCATATTCGACTCGAGTTCGTGGAATAACTGTCAATTACTTGGCTATGCTTTAATTATTCTTTACACGAACGTATATTAAGATAGAATTAATATTTGAATGAATGTAATTAAATCAATAAATTTATCCTTTTTATTGTTTCTAAAAGGCTATTTAATAAAGGAAATTGAATACATTTTTCCATATTCCTATAGAGTTATAGATACACTTGTGGTGGAAATTTGGGAGAAACTCAAAATTGCGTAGAAACACTGGCACTTCGTGCTCGTGTTCCCACGCAATTTCTCGTTTCTCCCAAACGTCCGCGCGTGTGTGTTTTACTCTATAGAAACGCGGAATTGTTTTCTATTTCTTAAATAAAAAACGAAAACGTAGTTTTGAAAGATCATGCTTTCACAACTCAACTGTCTGTGTCAGCTCACTTGATGGTATAATATAAAACAATATATTTGCATTCTATTTAATGCCTAATGCCCGTATATAAATTGGATACGATACAACAAAAATAGTAAATATATACATTATAGAAAATTATTTTAACAACATAATAGTAGACCGTAAATAAAATCCACTTTGGTCTGTGGAATCCACGACAACCTTCGTCGAGGTTAAATGCCTTATTAACACTTTGATAGGACTCTTCAGGCGAACTAGCAGCTTAACGTACTGTACCTGACAATCTCACATGTAGTACATTCAAAATATTTTCCTCATTAAATTAATCAAAACATTACTGTTTCTCTTGTTCGCATTTACTCAACTATATTCATTATTATTTTATTATTATTATAAAATTACATGCTCCCGAAAGGGCTTTTCTGTTTTTGGCCATAGTTTGTGTTTGATTTTGGAATTTCTAGATCTTTACTGGACCTGGTAGAATAGTTGTGGATGGTATCTCGCAGGTATAATTTCTCGCTCAGATACGGCGGTGAAAGATCGTTCATGCACTTGTATGTTTGTACAATGTCTTTGTATGCAAGTGTTTGGTCAACAGTCATCCATTTCAATTCTCTTAAAATGGGAGTAATGTGGTCAAACTTTCGTGTGTTCGAATAACACGAGCTGCGAAATGTTGGCCTAACTGTAGTTTCTTTACATTTTTTGCTTTTGTGTTTGCCCATACGGACAAACAATAAAACAACTTTGTGAAAACCACTGCTTGAACCACTGAACACAACGTTTCCTGATCCATGAGATGACGAATCCTACTAATTTGACATAACTTTGCTATGCATTTAGAAACCAACAGACTGATATATTCATCGAATTTCATCTATGCATCTAACGTGTCTCCCAAGTCTTTGGCAGAAAAAACATGGAATAGCGTTTTGCCTAAAAAACTCAGCGAGAAATCTTCAGTAAATGGTTTTAACAAATCTGGTGTTCCGAATAACTTGAATTTTGTCTTTTTTGGATTTATAAAAAACGAGTTCGTACAACACCAGCTTGTTATTCTAGTTAGATCTTCTTCTAGTTTGGCCTTTGCTTCCGATTTATGCTGCACTGAAAAGGACAAGACGATTTTACTATCGTCAACGAACGATTCGAGGAACTGTTTACCAACAGCAACAAAGTTTTTCAAATTTTAGCTGACCTCCGTAATAATCACAGACCTCCTTCTTAATGTCAATCATGTTCCCATGAGACCATCATTCTCCAATCAGAAAGAGCAGGCGTTTATTATTACCAATCAGCAGGCGTTTTTACCAGGCCTACCTGAATGAACGCATGCATGTAGGCTAGTTGTGTATAGGCGCGAGGGATTAATGTATTTCTGGCTATTAATTCTAAAATATTGTTATTTCGTTAATATCAATATCAGCAATGAATGTCGTACATTGTAAGGTAACAAATATATTACCAGGAAAACTTGGAACGCCATTGGCGATTTTCTTAATAGGATGTTAATGGCACGTTGTGTAAAACCGTAAGTACATTCCGAGTTAACAATTCAAAAATAAATTTTCTAAAACTTTTCTTCTTAAAGCTGTAATAATTAATATTGGCACAATACATATTTAATATCGGACTAATAAGACGAGCTGTTTCGAGAGGTGTTTCATGTTAAGGTTTCGCAATTTACAAAAATTATTGACTTATATTCGTCGTACCATGGCGCACTGTACTTACTGTTGTCAAAATTTGATAAGATATCCAGCCGTCATCGTTAGCAACATCAATATGTTTTAAGGTGTGGCTGGTAAGTTGGCAGTTATGGCCAGTTATTATTGAGTTGTAGTTAATTCCAACGCATAATCCATCTTCGAGGCATTTCAATATACATTCTTCTTCAAAACGTACGACATGGTTTGACAAAATTGCATAAATTGGCCAGGAACCTCCTGTTTTAAAAGACATAAAATCAAAGCAGATGTACCAAATTTGAATGCTTTGTAAAGAAAATGTATGCAATGACGAAATAGGGAGCTTTAGCAGCGAACAAAAAAAGACAAAATAGAGTTCCTACGTATGAACTAAATCTCATGCAGATTAAAGTTCCCTACAAAACTAGCCGTTTCTACAAGGAACAATACACGAAATAAGTGGAAATATTTCATGAATAAGTGGGATTAAAAACAAGCCAAATAGATTTATTCAGTATTCACCATAGATATCTTATATACACTAGATAGTGCATCTAATTATTCTGCAATTCAAAAATTGAAGCCGTGATTGCAGTCTCAGGTCGTTCCCATGAAATGAGAAGATTCGTATATTTTCTATTTCTTAAACACGGAACTTAAACATGAAGTTAACCCTATTCCAAATACGTTTTTAAACTATTCAAATGATGAAAGTTATTTTTATTTTTAAGCGTTTATCAGCAAGTGGGAACGACCAACATGGCCGCCATCTATTCAAATGGGGATAACCGCCGGAATATTCTTGGCTTCAATTTTACTAAAAGAGATGCGCTATCTAGTGTATATAAGATATCTATGGTAT